GAAAATAGGTGATTTATTTAGGTGATAGAAAGTGGATCTCACTTCGAACTACTTGCAAAACCTGATAGCCGTTATTCTGATCTCTGGAAATCACAGCATAAATATTCTGAAGTAGTACAACCGAAACAACCAAACTCTCATAAGCATGGGTCGGAACATTTGCATCTAAAATCTTTCGACAATCACCGTAACGATGGCTGCTGTAGGTCAGGTGGCGGTTGTAAACGTTGAAACGTTTAGAAATAGCTTGTTACTACTTGATTTTTCTTCTTCATACTGTGCACCGGAATGAATGCGATCAGTTTTTTAATTTTTCTTTTTTTAGAAATATTTTTGGTGATTTGTGGAAAACTTTAAGAGTTACGGACATGCTTTAACTAAAGTTTTCATCGGCATTTTGATATGACTTTTATAGTTGCATGTTCCATTTTAAATTGTTGAAAATGAGAGAAAAAAACTTTCCTTATCATTCTGGCAGTGGGTAAGTGTCGTGCATTATCATTTGGCAGATTAGAAGGGAAGAAGGATATGACTATCGTTCCGCGGAAAAAGTGATGTAATTACATATGGAAATAGTAGATCTGAATGGAGAGATTTCTATTAAGACAAGATCAGCTGGAATAATTATATTAAGGATTGGGACTTCTTGAATCCAAAGATTCTCTTTAATTTAATTTTTTGTTCATCCTAACATAACTTTCAGATTTATGTCTGATTTTGGTATTATGAAGTTTGCTTGGGCGAATTTTAATCTAATTTTTGTTTTACAATATTTTGGCATGAAACTGTCCACCTCCTTATAGAGCCCTATTAACCTCTCCTGGACATTTTTGTTCTTTTTTTTCAACTTCAAATATTCGTTGTCGATTTATTTTTCGAAAGAATAGCTTTTGTGCTTAGACCTCTAACTTCTTTGTTCCTAATATTTTTTTTACTTTTTATTTTGAGAAAATACTAACAAAATCCCAGTGGAGCGTTTGTGCCTTTTAATATTAAAAATGATTTGAAATGATCATAGTTTAATTTGTTGTAATTTGCTTTATTATCATGATATTTCATATTAGTCATTACTGAATTTATATATAAACGGGTTTCATATTCTCAGAAATTAAAAAGGTTTGAGTTAAATTTCTGAAATGGTTTAAAAGAAATGAGTAGAACACTCAGAAAGAGTTGCTAGAAAAATCTAGAAAAAAAAAGTTGAAAAACATCAAGATTTAGAGGAGGAATGGAACATCCAGAAAAGTCCGAAATTTTGAAATTTGAATCTTAAGATGATCCGCAACTCGAACATTCGGAAAATTTTTAACACCTACCTTCAATTGATTACATCTTTAGTAGTTTTGTTCGTTTTTCTCAGGTGAATATAACCAGTGGCAAAGAAGTATATATAAGCAATTGTATATTCTGATTATCACAAATACGGTGACCACTTATCACTTTACTTCTTCCGTCTGTCATTTTGTTTTGGAATAAATAATAGCCATTAATGTATGTTTATGTTTGTGTATTACCAATTTTATAAGTTTTTTCATATGTGGAAAACTCAAAAATTCTCATACTAAAATAGGGGATCCTGAAACATTCATAGATAGTGGCGAATTTCGGAAACTTTTCGCATCGGTCAGAAAAATTAAAAAATTTATTGCAAAATAGGAATTAATGAAGTTTTTAAATCGAATCAAGAAGGCTGAGAAATGATGTGCTAACAAATGGAAGGTGCTTTAGTTAAGCAATTTGGAGAGCAACTTTCAACATTTTAGCTCTTATGTTAAAATAGATGAACTTGAAAATCGTGGTCCAAATTAAATTAGGAAATCCTGGAACAAAATTGGAATCAGAAATTGTCTGTTAATGATAATTTGAGAAGTTATTCTTCATAAAAATGTTTTAAGCGTAGAATCATATTTTTTTTACCAAATATGCAATACAATCTATGCAATCTACAATCTTCTAGCATTTTCTGTTATTTTATTTTCTCGAAATTAATTTTAAAGTATTTAATCTAGAGAATTTGTAATGCTTAAACTCTTCTATGGATCATACTGGTTCTACTTATGAAATTTTAACCATTAGACGTGTTTTTTCGAACAGTTCTGTGAATTTCCTTTAAATACATTGTATTGAATTATTTGAATTACGTGTCTCTTTAATACATATTCTAATGGGTCTATATCTATTTTGTTGAAATTTATCAAACACTATAAACAAATCTGCAACGGTATTTATTTCATATTATTCGTCGTTCATGCGGTAATTCTTCAATCTTTGTATTTAACGAAATGTTTGTTGCAGATGTTATTCTCTTCGGAGAAAAATGAATCAAATTTAGGTAATAGTTTCTAAGATTTTATAACGCACTAATAGTGCTTAATGTAACTTGTTAGATTGATGCTAGAAACAGTAAATGTTTTGTGAATTTTATGACAATAAATTTGTGAACCATTAATTATAGATGATGATCAAAATAGTAATACGACAGGATAGATAATTGGGAATGCTTTTGTTACATTTAACCCTTTTTTTGTTAAAAGAAATTGTGTGCAAATTTTAAAATGATTCAGGATTTTTAGCTGGAGATATAAAATTTTTTAATTAACATTCACGAATATGTCCGGATGCTTGGATCAGTTGAACTACAATTGTGACATCGATTGGGATTCGAAACGAAATGCTGTGGCATCGTGTATTTCGTCAGCTATGGTAAGAGATCCCCCATTTGCTTTTTTGTTAGAATAGAATAGTAGTAATTATGATTAAGGGAACTATTGAGAATTTGCAGTTTTAAATTACAATATTAAAAAAAGGTTTCTGAGTATTGTTAAATTTTATAGTTCTTCTTTGGTTGGTGGCTATTGATCGATACGGCAGCAGTTTATACTCCGGTTGGTCAATGGAACAATGTTTATATCATCGTTACTGTTTGTGGAACTATTGCGATGTTCATGTAAGATTAGGTTTTTATAAAAGTTTGTATAAAAGATGGTTTAAAATATGTCATTTTAGTTTCTTCTTTCCCTCTTTGATGCTCGTAATTTATGGTAATTATTTTCAGTATAAGTTGCTGTGGAAAAATAGCAATTTCATAACTGATATGGAGTTTTAGGGTGAATGCTGTTTCAAATAGCCAAGTTCGGGGAGAATCTATGAACGAAAGTATTTTGGGTACCAAAGGTTAGATTTTCGAATGCATTTATGTTATTCACCAGTTTTCATTGTTCCTCACTTTTTTATTCCAAATGAGGATTTTAGAAAAATAGCATCTGGTTGCTATACGATCTGTTAATCTTCTCTCATAAGTTGAGTATATTTTCCATCCTTGTATTCTCCACTTACGCCTCCATCGGTTTGCAAGATTATGAGATAGTGTAGGGCAAAGATCATGAATGAGAAAGTGACAAAACCAAATTCGGTACCATGATTCGAAATTCAGTTTTTGTGGTAACAAAAACTTTTGTGTTTTTTTGTGCTAATTGTTTCATATTTGGGTTATGTAAAATGTTCCTTATCATAATGACCCTATTTTCACTTATGGCTTTATCCTGTTAACCTATTGTTATATTTGGTTATAGTTACATCATATTTAACTCGACGTACCGGGTTTATTTTCAATGATACCGTTACATATCGAACATTTCATATGCAGTTTTTGAAAACGATAAATCAGTTTTCAGGATCTCGCTTATGGCTAATGTTCGGTTTTGTACTTTCATTTGCATCGCTGGTCGCTGCTTTATGGATTATGTTTGCGGATTATGTGTTAGTAACTGGTGATCACCCGATATGGCCTGGAGTTGCCCTCTTCCTACACAATTTTTTGATTTTCATTTCTTCACTTATCTATAAATTTGGTCGAACAGAAGAACTATGGGGATAATTGACCACCGAACTTATGGACTGTAGCTTTCAGCCAAAAAAATTGTGAAATAAGTGGTTGACTGCTGAACAATTCAGAGATTTTATAATATCCAATACATAAGGCGTACATCCATTTCACTTCTTTTTTTCTTACTTGGAGGATTGAATGAGACGATTTAATAATGAAACAATTTTAGGTCGAAGATTAACCCGGGCTGTTCGTAATTTTCCTCAAATAGGAACAATTTTTCTTGATTATCCTATTTTTTGCTAAAGCTACTTACTTTTCTGTAAAATTTCTGTAATTTCTTGAAAATGAGGCGGCGGCATATGAAATTTAAGAAAAAATAAAAGTATATGGAAACGCTACCAAAGTAGCTTTCTTCAGGGATGCCCATCAAACAACACATGCCAATTTCTTCAGTTTATGTTGTGTTTAAATCTTAAATCTGTCGGAGAAATTTATCGATCTAATCTTGCACCAATTTTGCATGTTCACATGCCGATTCATGTACTCGTTGTATCTTAATGCCGTTCTCTCTTTTTCTGCTGTATTGTTTTTTTCTTCTCTCTCTTTCTCTAGTACTTATTTATCTCAACTGGAGAAATTGGGAAATACGGCTGCTGTTGATAGCTTTGTTTTGATATTCCTAGAAATAAATTCAACTCCGGACGGACTGTTGCTGTATGGATCTTTCTTTGCTTAAGATCGCTATAGTAATTTTTGTGAAAAAAAAGAAACAAAAGAGAGACTAACAAACTAAATGTAACAAAACATATAAAGAAATGAATAAATTATTTCTTGAATATCATTTCCCGCAAATAAATCCCTAAACTGTCAGCGAAACTTAAGGATAGGTGAATAAAAACTGCAAATTTTACAACTTCCATCACTATAAGCAAGATAACACTGATAAGAATGCAGATATTTTGAAGCGGATAAAAATTACCAATTGTATGAAAAGTTTTACTATATTTTCCAACATAAAGATTCAGGCACAGTATTAAGAAAGTAATATAATTGCAAAAAAAAAAAAGTTTGGAACATTGACAAAATTTCTCCCAATGTTTCTGATTATATTTCTTAGCAAGATTTACAGAAGAGACAGGGAAACGAGTCATAAGTTTTTTTTTCTCTAAAAAATAGAATTAATTCGATAAAGACGCTAAAAGCATAAAAGTAATAGATCCCTGCGTACATAAACTTCAAACACCGAGGAGTGCTCGAAACAAGTGATCGGGGTGATCCACGATAACGAATGAGTAACTGAGATGAGACCGCACTGAAAAAACGAAAGGAAAATTTTCCAAGTGTTCTAATGTGACCCTTGTGTAAAAGTGTATGAATAGGCAAAGTATTGAAACAGCTGCAAATTCAAGTGAGTAGAGGAAAATGACCAGCTACGGTCGCATAAATTGAAGTATCTAAAATAAGTCAAGGAACTTTTAAAGCAGACGAATGTTGAAAGCCTATAGATAACAATATGAGAAGCAGAGTTCGAAGTAGTACAGGAGACACACACATACATGCATGCAATTAGAACAAAAATTTGATTTGAAGAAAGACCAACTAGAAACAAATGAAGTATCGCCAAAACATCTACCTGAAGTATCACGATATGGTACTCTGAGCTATAAAATGATGATGTTACGTAGAAAATATCGTTCTAATCGGTTATTTCAAAATTTGTTTTCAGAAGTATCCAAAGCAAAGCTGTCATCCTACGAGCAGAAAATATCCTGCAGTTCTGCTGAGTAAACATAGAGTTTCAGTGACTAAAGGAACTTCCATAAATGATTCAAGTGTGGGAAAGGACTTTTTATATATGTCATCAAAACTTATTAGAGCCAATTGAAATAGGTTAAAAAACATGAAAAAGTACAGATGGCTTATTCTGCGACTTCGATCCATGTTAAATATTAATCCCTGTTCTACTAATTGATTATAACATGCTTTCCGAACTACTGCAGCTGCACTTTGCTCGTACAAACAAATGATTTGATGAAAAAAGAAAAAAAATAAACAAATGGAAAAATAGATAAACACTGGATTATACCAGCAATGATTATCATCCATTATATGCACCTAAAATAATTGAGAATTCCTTTCTAAGGCTGAGTATGTCGATATTACCAAGAAAACGAAAATAATCCAGTGAATCGTCTGACAAACAAACTTCCTACTAGAATGAAATAACTGATCAAAGAAGAAAAAAAGAAAAATTCGATGTTCGTCTTATTTTATCTTCCTCTAACTACTCATTCTGTGAAGTTGCAATTGGTTTTACTGGTGTAGTGTGGACCGCCACATTTCGATATCTGAGTCGAGAATCATGAAAATTCAGGTAATTGTAACCTCGTGATAACAGGACCAAACTCATCCCTACTCCAACCACTGATTTCGTCCATACATTGAGGCTATAATTAAATGAATTACAAGACTAAATCAACAAAATTGCATTGCTATTCATTCCAGTATATTCTTGATATCTGTATAGCTAAGTTTAAGCAATCGGCATACACTATTCTGCATAATAAGTCAGTAATTTAAAGAATAATTGGTGGAGTAATACAAACTTGCAAACTTAAATGGTAGGAGACAATACTCGTCAATTAACCCTTAAAAAATTGAGAGAAGAATCTGATTTGTCTATTCTATGACAATCATGGAAGACAATGTTCCAGTGAACTCGACTCATACTAACATTACTTTCTGCTCTGTAGTGAAAAGTAATCCTTGCAATCGCTGTACTAAAATTTGCCATATAATGAGTTCTAAACCAACAAAAGAAAAAAGCATCCTTCAGCCAAATATCCCTAATTACGATGTTTTATGTGAAAAGCAGCGTGTCTTACGTCTTCGGCAAAATGTCTTTAAGGAAAATAACGGCAAATAATGATCCATATGTAAATATGACAGCTGCAAATACACTATATTCAACACGTTTCCACCAACCCAAACGATTCATGTGCGGTCGAAAATAGACCGCAAAACCAGGACCGAGTGTAGCGGTACAGAGTATCGAAAATTCCACTGCCAAATCATGAACACCAAAGTACCTAAAAAAAGAAAGAGAATCTTACTGTTGGACACAGTACGACTTCGCTCAGAAATGATAAGAACGGCAGTAAGGTATTCAAGTAAAAATGATGGTTTATACCATTACAACAAAGACACTGCTTGTCAAATATGTTTCCAGTTAAAGTCCACATCTATTTCACCTGGTTCAAAGTTCACACTTTAAAGTTCATACCTTTTTTTTGGGATATTTCCTGTTTAACGCATCTTATACAAATATGCTTTATTCGAAATACTAATTCAAATTTCATATGCTAAGCAAACGAAAAAAAATTCCAAATATTGTCAAATTTCATTCCAATAAGCATTTCTAGCAATCGCTGCTTTTGTTTAAAAAAAAAGAAAAAAAAAAAAAAAGAGCAGTGATACACAATTTTAAATAACTGATCAATTAATTGTCTTCTTACTTATCATGAAAAGTAAAGAAACCTGGTAAGTAAGTCTGGTGAAAGAATATGCATAGAGTATAGCGAGTGGCTCAATGCTCCGACCATTGGTATGTAATGCGAAAGGGTTGTCTGGGTCGTTAAACGTGGCAATAAGAAACGCTTCCATTCGTTAATTCGTTGATAAATGTTTAACATTTCTATAACAAGAAATAAATTTCTAATTCAATTGGATTTAAGTTCAAACATGTTTTTATTCAGATAAAAGATATTATCAAATCAATCTGAATTTCGTACCATCTTGTATGAAATTAAAAATTTCGAGGGGAAATATCTCCCTACCTCTCTCTTTCTTTCTCTTATCCTCTCTCTCTTCAAAAAATTTCGAAAACTTTAAAAATAACTTTGCCAATTTTTTTTTTTTATAAAGCATATTCAACATATAATTTTTATTTATCATACATTTTACAGCTTTAAAAGTATTTGACATCAAATTTACAGTAGTTTACAAAAAAAGTAACAAAATATTTGAGATTTCTTTTTTCGCGAAAGGAAAAAGAAAAACCTAATTTGTTGATTAAAGATGGCATAAAAAAGGAAAGAAGTAAGTGAATGCATCAAAAACCGTGCAAAAATATCAATGCTTGCAGTACTGCGTAATTTAATTCGAATTTCAAGACCCGAAATATGTTAACATCTTACAGAAAAAAAGAAACCACCACTTAAATTTGAACTTTGGATTTAAACAAAAAAGTGAACGGAAAATTTGGTCTAAATTTTTAATTCCATGAATGCAATTTGAATTTTAATTTCAAACACTTCTTGCATGGAAGGGAAAACAAATGGATGGTTGAACCACAATTTCAAATGAATATACATATATAAAACAAACAGAAATTAAATTAACATTTAAAATCCAATCGCCTGGACGAAACGCCAAGAAGTGAAATGACCTCTAACACGACGAATACATCCAATCTATTTGTCCAGCATGCAACTCGTGTGTGACGTTAAATTTTAATCTGGGAAGAAAGAATTGCGTAGCGTCATATACTTAGTAATTAGAGGATAGCACAGAATATTTATAGATGAGGAAGTTGATTGGACAAAATTAACATTTTACTCAATCAATATAAAGAATTTACTCCTTTATCAAACCCTTCATATTATTATCAGAGGTCAAAGATTATTTTGAAATTGATATAGGAGTTTTTTTTTTTTTTTGATAAAAGAACGATAATCTTTGAAAAATTTAAGCCAACAAGTTTTCTTTTTAATATTAAAAAAGTGACTGAGTAAAATGCTAATTTTACTTATTTTGAAAGTAAGCTTAAAAAAGTGATAAGATAAGAGACAAGATAAGAACATGAGGGAATTGTTATCCATCAATTAGAGTTTTGTTTAGTAATTAAAACTATGACAAATGAAAATTTATTATAATTAGGGATAGAAAAAGAACTTTTTCTGAAAAAACTTTTTCGGATTATATAATTAATACTAATTAATATGAAGTGATAAAGGTTACTATTCATAGGCAATGATCTCTTTGGTAAGATCTCTTCACCTTATTCTTGTTTTTTTTCCTTTTTTTTTTCACCAGAAATGTGATCAATGCTATCAATGCTATCATTGGTTGATCAATACAACAAGTGATAATTAATCGATGTTTATCGACTGATGATAATAAGTCATAAATATGATTTACTTTGTATACTTCAAATATCAAATATTTACCGTAATTGGTTAGATTTGTTGATAGATACGCAAAATATGGGTAATAATACTGTATTATTTTGTTTCAGAAGAAATCGCTAAAATGGTTTAATTTTTAAATTCTTTCTAAAACTTTCGTTTTTTTTCCTACTAAAATCAATAATTTCTATTATTTTGGCATTATCAATATTAAAAGTGGAAATAATTAACAAATTTATAAAATTTGTCATGAAAATTTTTAAAAAATCAAAATAAAACTATGGACGAAATTAAAAATATGGATATAACATGTTATTAATAATATCTATGTTACTATCATTTAATTACCTAATTAATTATCGAATTACTTGATTAATTCTATTTCATTGCTTGTTATGTGTCACATGGTATTAGCAGTAGTGTATATTAGATAATTCAAATTAATTTTACTATACTTCTAATATTTATGATGCATACTGTATATGTGTCATATACAGTATACAACAATTTATAAGATGCTATTTGAAGTTTAGATTGTAAAAGCGCCATAAATTTATGACTAAATGCAAATTATCATACATTCCAATAGAAATACAAGCAGACAGACAAATAGATGGATAGATCGATAGACATTTGTACATTTTTAATATACCCAAATTATTAAAAGGAATTAATTAATTAATTAAAACGCTAATTAATTAAATAGATACTTAATATAGTTTAATGCTATCAAAATAATTGTATGTTAGTTAACTGTACGAGATGGATAAACTTAATAGCAAATGCATTACAAAAAATGCAACATACACACATACACATATATATTCATGAATGTATATGTATGTATGTGTGTATGTATGCATGTGTACGTATGTGTGTGTATGTGTGTGTGTGTGTGTGTGTGTGTATGCGTGTGTGTGTATGTGTACGTCTAGGTGGGTGGTATTGGGTTGATTGTTATCAAATTATAAAAGGAGCAGAAGCAAACAATGTTCATCTTCGTTATTGCTTACTTGTTGTTCTTTCGTTTTCCGCTTTATCTTTCCATTATTATTGCTCTTTTATTGTATAAAAAAATTTCAAATAATTTGAAGGATTAAAATGATAAATTGTAGCTCTTTGAGTTTTCAATTTTCTTACAACTATTAACTAATGGATGATGATAACAGTAATAATGACACTAGTGATAAGAATAACGATAGTAATAGTGATAATAGTGACAATAGGGATAATAAAAATAACAATGATGATAATAATAATAATAATGATAATAATAATAATAATAATAATAATAATGATAGTAGTAGTAATAATAGCAATAATAATAATTAGTGACACTGACAATAACAGTGATAACAATAATGGTGATAATAATAAT